AAGGTAGTATCGGGCCCGTACTACTAGAAGCACAGGATCCGTACTCGAATCAAGGAAAGTCCCGGAAATGCTAAGGAGCTGGTTGACGGTAGGAACATGGTCTGGTACCATGAATTCGTTGCAGCATTTTGGTATTTATCAGATCTTCGGTTATGGCTGTTCGGGAAGAAGACGGGTCTTGTGACTGTTGGTCCTTAGTGGCCATATAAGTTGGGGTTGAATGGTGCAAATCTAGATGAGTAGTTGATTTTGTGGTTTTGGGGATCCTACTTGAGGAGTGCCAGTCTGAGTCGTTGGACTCAATGACGAAGCATTTAGGATGAGCGGCTTGAGGTTTGCAATCTTGAGATTGAGTGATCGGCCGAAGGCTTATGATGTCATCTTTTATGATAAGGATTCTGTTATTTCAGTTTTCTGTGCTGAGGGAAAGAGAGAGGGAACGTATGATTTCAGAAACTGGAGAACTACCTAGTGGAGGGAACTAGATGGTTACGATACCTACAACAAAGGTGGTAGCGTATGAGCGGATTCTTATGATTTGATTGCCTCGAGAAAACTTCATATGATTTAAGAGAGTCATTTTCGTAGTGATTGTACAAGAGGGGACAAGGGTATGCCTTCTCTGGGTTCAGTTAGAACGTGTTTTAGGAGGTGGTTCCAGGCGATCAGGAGAAGTGAATCGTGAACGACAACTTTCATTGTATACATAGTACCTCGACTGTGAAGATGATGCCTCTTGTTTTATGACTGTTTCCCATAATGATGTGATGGTTAGGAATGCATATGCGAAGCGTGTGGTAACCTACTTATTTCTGGATAGAGATTTTGTGCTATGATGGGACTATCAGAGTTATTTGCTTGTGCATCTGCATGGGATTCTTGATGAAAGGGGAGGTTATGATTGAGAAGTTTCTGAGGTCTCCATCTGAGATTCAGAATGTACTTGAGTTTGCTAGAACCTTATCTGGGTGATTATCTTGCGTTGTGTTATACGTTCCAAGAGTCAGGGATGGTATGTATTTGGTTGGGCCAGTTTGAAGTGTGGTTTGTCTACAACGTCAGTTGGTGATTATTCGAACCCAGGTTGGGGGAGAACTGGGTATGGTACTTGAAAGATCATCGATCTGTTCGCGATCATGGTTCTAGAGGAATGGGTTGCAGGGATCGGCGGTTCGGGTATGCGATCCATTGGTTCGAGCTAAGAGTGCAGATCAAGTTGCCTTCAGATGTATGTGCTCGGGAATACATGATTTGTCTTCATTGAAGGAAACTATTGGTCAAAGAGCTCATTGTATCCAGTGGTCCCTTTCATTCCGATGAATTGTTCAAGAGGTGGTTAAGTTGCTCAGGTCGAGTGTCGGTTGTTAGTGTGCAGTTATAGAAGTGATGTAAAACTGTGGAACAGCCGTAGCATTCACTAGATTAGTGTGCGGCTGTGGGAGTGATGTCAGACTGTGGAGCAGCGGTAGCATTCACTAGGTTAGTGTGCGGTTGTAGAAGTGATGTAAGATTGCGGAGCAGCCGTAGCATTCACTAGATTAGTGTGCAATTGTGGGAGTGATGTCAGACTGCAAAGCATCCGTAACATTCACTAGATTAGTGTACGGTTGTAGAAGTTATATAAGACTGAGGAGTAGCCATATCATTCACTAGATTAGTGTGCAGTTGTGGGTGTCATGTAAGATTGTGGAGCAGCCGTATTCACTAGGTTAGTATGCGGATTGTGGAAATGTGGTAAGATTACGGAGCAGCTGTAACATTCGCTATGTGGGTAGGCGATTGTGACAATGATGGAAGTCTATGATTTGGCTCGTGGAATTCTCCTGGATGATTTAGACCATCGTAGGTTTGTTTGAAGGGTTGTGAGTGGGCCTCAACATCGTGATACTTTGGTAAACCGTAGGCTGGGTTGGGGCCGAATGTGATGTGAGAACTCGTTTCGGTTTGTAGCCATCTCTAGGGTAAAGCAGACTTGATAATCGTTCGTCCATTGGTTTTTTTGGGTTTTCCTTCTTTGGGAGTGAACGACTGATGGATTCGTGTTGCCGTATAGACCAAGGCCACATGTACCGTTTCACTTTGGAGTCTGGAGGTGATTTTGTTTTCGATGAGGATTTTCTCGGTACCGGTAAATGGTCAGGGCGTTTATGTTTCGAGTATCCATAATTTCTTTAGGACAAGATAGGTTTGTGCGGTTCGGTTTATGACGTTAAGTCATTATGGAAATGTTTGGGAATGGTCCTGTCTTCCTAGAATTCAGGCATCAATCAGGGTTTTCAGTCTTAGGCGTAGTGGTTGAACACTCGTTGGCTTAGGGCAAAGTTGAAGTTCATTCTTCATTACGGCTTGTGATTTCCGCTGTTTTACGTTCGTCAGAGGTGATAGTAAGGAATGATTTCGGGGACGAAATCTAATTTAAGTGGGGGAGAGTTGTAACACACTGTTCTGGGTCATTCTATGATTTAGGTCTGGGAGTCGATTTTTTAAAAGCTTTGCGCCTTGAGGAGGCAAAGTTAGTTCTTGAGGAAGGAAGTAATGATGGTTGAGAGATCTAACCTTTGAATTGTGTTTTAGGCTGAAGCATTGAAATGGGAAAGTCGTAGGTCGGGGCCTTGCATGAGATATGGAGTTTTTTTCGAGAAGTTTTTAGTCCGAGATATCTAGATAATGTTATGGGCTCTTCAATACCTTTCCGTGGATATAAAGAATGTTGAAATCGGAGTTAGAACGAAAATGTTATGGCCTTTGGAAGTTAGGGTGTTCTTGGGCTTATCCTAGTATGCTGGGCGTACAGGATGTAAGCCGAGTGTACTAACTCAGATGGATCACAAATGCTCAACCTAGTACGCTTGGGCGTACTAGGAGTATGCAGGGCGTACGCACTTAGGTGCCAAACCCTAAATTGAGGGCTTTGAAACCTATTTAAGCTTCTTAACTCACCCAAACCCTTTCATTTCTCAGCCTCCACATCCTTAACGACCTCCCTTAAAACCCTAACCCTAGTTAGAGCTTTATAAGAAAAATAAGGTGTTCTTGAGTGCCTTTGAAGGAAGAAGAAGGTGGTGATTGTGCTTAGACTCTTTAAGCATCCTTAGATATGGAAGATCTCCTCACTCATTCATCTTCAGAAGGTATAAAGATTGTACCTTTATGCCTCCATTAATAAATCTAGTTATTGGTCACAATTATGTCCTTTTTGTCCCATGAATTGGTCCTTTTGAGTGTGGGATGTTCCTGGTCTTGTGAAGTGCATTTCCACGTGTAAAAGAGGGTATTAAGTCATAAAAATATGATCTTGCCCTTGTTCTTCTAGCCATGCATGTATGATGAAGTTTAGAATGTGATGATAAGTTAGGGTTTTGGTTTTGGATGCTTTCTAGCCATGAAACATCATAAAGTTGGAAACTTTATGATTTAGGGCATCATTTGGACTTAGATCTAAGCTCTGCACAAAAAGGTCCTAAGGGATAAAGTGCTTAATGGAGAGTAAGGAATCACCTGGTTTACGCTGGGCGTAATTTTTGTATGTTGGGCGTACTAAGCAACCCCATGTACGCAGGTCGTAAGTTGAGTACATAGGACGTACTCAACCAGCCTGTGACTATGACTTTTGTTGACTGTGTTGACGGTTGACTTTTTGACCTTGGGTCGAACTTGAGGATTTTGGACTATTAATTAAGATTTTATCTGATTTTGGTGTTGATGGATTCGCGGGTGCAAGCAGTGCAGAAAGGGGATCATATCGTAGTGTTTCAAAGTTCTTCGATTCAGGTGAGTCTTTACCCTGTGCTTGTGAGTCGAAGGCACCAATATCGGCTCACTAAATTGTGTTTGTAGGATGCTAGCTGTCTTTGTGACTCTTGCATGTTTGTATGAGCCTGTGTGGTAATATATATATATATATATATATATATATATATATATATATATATATATATATATATATATATATATATATTATATATATATATATATATATATTGTCACACCCCCAAACCGAGAACGACGGAAACGTTCGGGGGCAGAGGACGTCATGTACAATATTATAACAATGCACAATAGTAAAACAAGTAACAACATCCATTGCATTAATAGAATAGTTAATACATGTGTGTTCTGTGTATAGTTGTAAGACACCAAAAATATATATTTAATAAAATAAAAGACGAGTCTTGAACATGCTCTATCTTCTCAAAACCTGGTCCAGTGTACCTGTCTACTGGTGACCTAAGAATACAAGTTATTTTGAAAGAGAGCATCAACATAAAAGTGGATTGAGTGCATAAGTATTTTTGTGTCAAGGGTTTGCATTTGCTTCATGAAAATGTTTGTATATGTAAAGTAAAAATGTTTGTATCCTTCCAGAAAATCCTATATTTTCTACTTAAATGAAAAGTAGTCTTCAATCAAGACTCAACTGTTTGTATGCTATGCTCTCTTGAATAAAGTGTAAAATGTATGTTTGTACACTACAAGAAAAAGACCCTTTTACGACGCGCAAACCACGATACTCATTGATTTATGTTACGCAAAAGAGAGTGACATTAAAAAAGTGTCATCTCTTAAAAAAATTTAAGGATTTAGGTCACGCATTATTGCGTGCCCTTAAATTAGTGTCTCATCTAAAAAAATAAAAAACACGGAGGACACTTTATCTAAAATGTGTGTCCTATGTGAATGTCGTTTTATATTTTTTTAAGAAACGCGCGTCTCTTTAGGGAAAATGAAATCCCCACATTTTTTAAACCCCCGTCTTCTTCTCCCTCGTCTCCACCCCTTAGGCCCTCACCCAAATCCACCGCCTCCAATCCTCGTTGCCTCTTCTAGCCTCGGACTGCGGCGATGCACCTTCCTTCTCGAAGAACGCTTCATTTACCACCATCGTCCAATTATGTGAGCCCAAGGAATTGACGGAGACGAAGAAGATTATGGATCAATCGCTTCACATCATGTTTAAGGTTAAGGGTTTGAGATTTCTTCCAAATCGATCCTCACACTAAATGGTTCGGCGACTGCAACTCCTTTCGATTGTAGCGCCGATCAACAACTACGACTCATCAACCGTAATTCGAAGCTACCAGTTGAACAACCCCTAATCGACACCTCCACCTTCTCGTCTCTCCTTCTCCACCAGGTTTTCTCTTATCTCTATCCTCCACCATATGAAGATTTACGAAGATGTACAGGGGTAACCGAAGGAAACCCTAAATCCCTCTCGCAGTCAACCACTACAACCCTAAATCTATCTTCTTTACTGATGGATTGTCCAGATGATTGGCAATAACTTATTCCCTTTCTTTATGACAATAACATTTTAGAATTGGCAAATGATTTTTTTTTCATGCTTCCACTTGTTTATGGCAATAACTTTAGGTTTTGATGTCCTGAATAACAGTGGCAAAATATATCAATGGACGACCATTTGTTTTGCGCGAGGTTGAGAGACCCTTCTCCAATCTTGAATACACGGTGTGTGCTTATTTTTTCTGCTCAAATCCCAACTTCCACTTCAGATTTACAGTATTTTGCTATATTTTTTTGTTGATAAACATGCTGATTTATCCCATTCTATATCTAAACTTTGATGTTATGAATAGGGTATCAATAGGGCTAGGGTGGAGCAAATGGAAGACCGGTTGAAGGAAGACATATTGCTAGAAGCTGCAAGGTATTATTTTTAACATGTTTATGTGTTTGATACCCATTTTTCTTATCATCTCAATACCCATCTCGATTACAGATATGGAAATAAGATCCTAGTAACTGATGAACTACCAGATGGTCAAATGGTGGATCAATGGGAGCCAGTCACACCGACTCTGTCAAAACATCACTACAGGTTCACCATACTATGAAATTAAATGTTCATTTTGAATATCTATTTCATAATTCCTTTCACTATTGTAGGCCTATTTAGAACTCCAAACAAGAAAATTCCTTGTTGACTACGAACGCATTCCAGTAACAGATGAAAAATCACCCAAGGAACATGATTTTGATACATTGGTGAGTGCTATTTTCATTTAACAAAATGAAAATATTTAACCTAGATTATACTTTATATATGATTTGTGTTTTATGATCTTTATAGGTTGATAGAATTTCAAGAGCTGATCTCAAGACATAAATAATCTTTAATTGCCAAATAGGGCGTGGGCGTACTACCACAGGGATGGTCATTGCCACATTGATCTATTTCAACCGAATAGGAGCATCTGGTACTTTTTTTTTCTCTGTGAAGTTTATGTTTTATGATTGCATGCTTTTACAATATCTTATTATTAGGTATCCCAAGAACAAATTCAATTGGAACACTTTCTGTCTGTGGCTCAAATGCTACTGACAACATTCTAAACACAGAAGAGGCTCTTCTTAGAGGGGAATATACTGTCATAAGAAGCTTAATCCGTGTCTTAGAGGTATGCAAATGAATCTTTTTCCTTATAAGTTTCCCATTACAACAACATTCTTGAGTAACTTCTTTTTGATTAACATGGTTTTAGGGCGGTGTTGAAGGCAAACGACAGGTGGACAAAGTGATTGACAAGTGTGCCTCCATGCAGAATTAAATCTGCTTTAGGGCGGGTTCCCAGTCTATGGTGTTGCAAATCCAACTGTGGAAAGAATTAAATATGTTATGCAAAGAATAGGTAGCTCTAAAGGTGGCGTAGGTAGACCCGTCTTTTGGCACAACATGAGAGAAGAACCTGTTATTTACATTAATGGAAAGCCCTTCGTGCTTCGTGAGGTTGAAAGACCCAACAAAAACATGCTCGAGTATAAGGTATATAATAATAATCCTCTCTCATTTTTAATGTTTATTATTTAAATATACTCAAGTGTCAAGTGGTTTAATGTAGGGAATTGACTGTGAAAGAGTGTAGAGAATGGAAGCTCGATTGAAAGAAGATATTCTCAAAGAATCTGAACGTTATGGATGTAAGGTATCTACCTGATACCTTGCTGCAACCTTGTTGCTTAAGAACAGAAAACAAAACAGAACAGGAAGGAAAGAAGGAAAAAAACTGCACAGCTGGCAACAGGTGATAACAGGGGAAGAAAAAAAATGGGATTTTTGATTTTGCTTGGTGGTAAAGAAAAATTTTATTGCTGAAAAACTTCTTTCTAAATACCTATAACGTAGCATATTTATACTAAAAGAAAAAGAGTTTGACTCATAGTCTAAAACCGGGAAAAAAAAATAATAAAAGCATTTTTCCTAAAATGCCCCTGTGGGCTTTTTCCTGAATTACGCCAACAATGGAGGTGATATTATGGCAATTCACGAACTACAATCATATTTTAATACAAAAACTTAATTAAATTGGAACTCAAAATACCCTTGAGGCTATTTTTGTCCCCAGTTCTCAGTTTGCACAGGGGACGGTATAATGATGGATGGTCAAGCTAAAATTTGGTTTTGAATTTAATCTTGGTATAAAAATGACTGGTTTGATAATGGTAGATGGTCAAGATATAAGAACTTTACAAGTCCATTTGGAATATTACTTTACAGATAATATTCTCTCTTTATTTCAGAAATCAATGTAAGGAGATGTTTTGTTATAATAGTGCAAAATCACTCTCTGAGTGGGTGTCTACTTCTTACTTCTTCGTATTATTAAATTTTTCATCTTATAATATGTTTGGATGCTGCTACATTTTAATACTGTCTGGAGGATATTATATTTGTTATTTGTGATAATAGCAGCTGGCTTTGTTTGTGATGGGATTGGTGTAAATTTTTGTCTGTTTTGTTGTTTTTTTGGATGATAGGTACATGAAGCATTGTTTAAAGGTGGATCAGTAGTCTACATGTCATTGCATGTCTTTGTCTTGATGATGATGAAGAGGTAAGGTAAGTAACTCAAAATACTTACCAATCATTTAATTTGATAATATTAGAGATATGGTAGTATAGCATCAACAGAAAAAGCAGGACATTGATTACCTGCAATTTTCCTCTTGAAACAATGGTGTATGAAAATCTTGATTAATAGATTCTGGTTTACAAGGACCTTTAAGCTTTTTAACTTTGGAATTTGGATTGGTCTGTGATGCGTTGCTAGAAGAAAGAAAAACTAAAGGTAGGTGTTGGTTGGTTAATACTTAATACTTAATACCATGATGAAAGTGGAATGGGTAAAAATTAAATAGATGAGTATGATATGGCAGTTGACAAGGTCATGGTCATTGACGGCATAAATAAAAGGATAATAAAATAGGTGTATGTAACATGAGGAGAGAGTGACACGATACAATGATGTGTTAAATAATGCAAACGAGATGAATGTTTTTTTTTCTTATACCAAATAACATTGATATTTTATACCATAAGCTGCATTGCACATTCATCTCTGTGCAAAAAGACATGTATGCCCTCAGTTGCTTGATTCAGTTTGCTGATGCTTTTTTTCCTACTTATATCAATTCATCATGGATGTGACCAAGTTCGTAGTTGCTTTTATCAGTATGTGCTTATCGTATTGTATTCCCTCTTCCTTGTTTCCGGTTTATACCTCATGCTTTTAACTGTAGTTAGGTTATAGCCTTAATCTATACTGAACTTATTGGTTATTATTTCTAATTTACTATTGTTTGTAAATTCATTATTATCATTAAAAAAAAATCAATTTTTTTTTCTGTAGATCATTCATTAGCAGAGTTTTCAAGTTTATACCAGAGTGGTCAAGGTCTGTAAGACTAAATACCAAAATCCTTTCCAATGTTTTCTTATATTTTTGTTGTTACTTGTTTTTTTAATTATATTTTTGATCTATTTCAGGTCACAAATTCGAAATTATTGGTGGGACCACTAGTAAAATGCCAGCATTAATCTTTTTGTTTTTTCAATTGTTATAGTTGATGAATATTGTTTGTTGGGTGTGTAAGGGTAAAATGGTCATTATTTTTAAAGAGGTTAAGTGGAGAAGCAAATGTTGATCTTCTAATGTTCTTTTACAATGTTGTTCTTTTACAGGTGGTTGGAATTGGACCTAAAGTTGGTTGCTGATATAGGAATAGTGGGTGCTCCAAATGCAAGAAAAAGCATGTTTTTAAGTGTTATTAGTGTTGACATGTAGTGTTGTTTGACATGTAATGTTAGGTAACTTGTTTGACATGTGATGTTTTTTTGAAATGAATTATCGTTCTTATGTATGGTATTTTATTTTGTATTATGATAATTTCAATCTGTTGTTTAATTTGAAAATTAGTAATTCTATCAAATATATATATATATATATATATATATATATATATATATATATATATATATATATATATATATAACATTTAAAATTATGACACGCAAATACGTGTCATCTTCATTTATGACAGGGGCTTTAATGATACCCAATGGGTGTCTTAAACGCGCGTCGTAAGGTTACGACACGTAAATGTGTGTCGTCTTCTTTTATGACAGAGCCTTCCTTGATACACATTGTGTGTCGTAACTGCACGTCGTAAATGCGTGTCATAAATGCGCGTCGTAAATAGACGACACGCAAAAGCGTGTCGTCTCTCGTTATGACAAGGCCTTCCTTGACACGCATTTGCGCGTCGTCTGAGCGTTTTACGACACGCATTGCGCGTCGTAAAAGGCTGTTTTTCTAGTAGTGGTACTTAAAATAGTATAAATGTATGTTTTTCCATATAGGTAACTATCTTTACTCGAAAAATAGTATGCGTTTCTCTTGTGAGAATATCACTGTATGAATGTAAATGGAAAAATGAAGATTTACAGTAGTTTTGTATAAGATACACTACTGATGCATTAACTACCTTGTAACCAAACTGGTTAATTTTAAGGTTAAAATGTGATAAAGTTATAACCATGCTTGATTGACTAGTGTGAAACACGACGTTCTTCAGGCTCCGAAAAACTTATGGCATTTGTCACTCGTAACTTGCAGGTCCTACTGTAGCTAGCAGCAAGGTGTAGGATTGTCAATCCAGTATAGATCTATACACAAATTCATGCTCTCCCTCCAGGACACTCTGGTTATAAAACGTAACATAGCAAGAATATTGCTATGTCAGGAAATAGTATCTCACATTTTAGTTATCTTGTTCTTTGTTATAGTATGTAAGTTCCTTCTTGTTCTTGTAAATGAATAGTATACTTTGTAATGATTAGTAATAGTATGTATGTATTGACTCATATATGTTTCTTTGATCTAGAAATATTATGTAGTGATCCTCTAAACTATAACTATTATATGTTTGTTTGAACTGTTATTGATTTCAAGAAAATACTCATTTGACCAAAGTGTGCAACTGAGTTAAATATGTACTTTAAAAACATGGAGATTAATATTCATGTATATATTTAGCAAGTATAACTATGATTTAGCCGATAGTCGGACTAGTGATCCTACCCTCAGCCCATAACCAAACAAGGAACAGGAGTCAAGGTATTTAGCAATAGTCCTAAGTCCGTTAAAGCATAATTATACATAAATATGTACATGGATAAGATTTTGATAATACACAACACTCTAAAATAGTTTTAAAATGGTTTCAACAAGCGTTTGAATATAAGAAATCCTTCTGTTTGATGTTTTCACATGTAAGTGGTTTAACACAATTATATTGTGTTCTACTTGTATTCTCCCCGTAAAAGCATTCAAAAGCATTTAAAACTGTAATTTGTACGGTATGAACTCACCTTTTTAGGAGTGATTCGATATAGGAAGACAAGTTTCACGGGTGAAGTTCCGAAGCACAAAAAAGTCCTATTTGGCATACGAAGACATATATATGTATATATTTAGTGATCATAATCATAAATATAGCAAGGAAACGTATTGAGTTGCAAGCTTAACTTACAAAAGAGGGTGCTAGAGTCGAAAAGGGAAGGCCGGAAGGATTTCACGACCTAAAGATCTTGATGATCTTGGGTTCACGGCTTGATGTTCTTGACAAATGGTGATGATGCAAGGGTTCACGGTGCAAGAACACTCGATGTTCTTGAGTTAACGGCCCAATGATCTTGGAGATTAAGAACACTTGAGGATCCTTAGAAATATCTCGAAGAAGATTCAAAGGAAATGGATGATAGTTCAGAGGAAAGTGTTCTTGGTTGAAGATTCTTAGGAGAAAATGCTTAAGTTCACGGCCAGAAGTGAAGAAGTGGGGTAAAATTTGTCAACATCTTATATATAGGGGGAGTTCACGGCCGCAAACTGAGGCTGTTTACGGTCCGAAGCCTGTTTACGGCCCGAAGCCTATTCACGGCCCGAAGGCTGTTCACGCCCGAAGGCTGTTCACGGTCCGAAGGCTGTTCACGACCTGAAGCCTGTTCACGGCTCGAAGGCTGTTTACGGCCCGAAGGCTCGTTCATGGCCCTAGCCAGGTTTGCGGTCCTGGACCCAAATGATTTTCCTCATTTAACACACAACACCTTAGGATACTGGGTTTGAACACATTCATCTCATTAAACTAATCTAACCATAAGATAATGTTAGAATTAAGTTTGACCTTTATTGGATAAGTTTGACTTTTACAAGATAGAAACTTCGGGTTGTCACACATATATATATATATATATATATATATATATATATATATATATATATGTGTGTGTGTGTGTGTGTGTTGACCAGTTGGGTCTTACTTGTTGTTTCTGTAATATGTGATACTATGTACTGAGACTGCAGATAGTCTCCAGGGTTGCTGATAACCCACCGGGTGTGTTGTTTGCCCACTAAGACTGTTGATAGTCTCCAGGGTTGCTGATAACCCACCGGGCGTGCTGTTTACCCACTGGGACTGCTGATAGTCCCCAGCGTTGCTGATAACCCATATCTGTTTATTTGTGCTGTGCTGTGTGTGATATTTTGGGGAACTCACTACGCTTTGTGTTTACGATTTGTGGTTTACATGTTTCAGGTTTTTCTTATAATAAAGGAGGGGCACGACTCGATTGCATCGCATCAATTGGGAACTTGTGCAATGATAACTTTTAAATGATAATCTGATAAATGTTTTAAGATCTTGTAGTTGTGATTAGAATAAATACCTAATGTTTTAACTGAAAATTTTGGGGCGTTACAATGCAAAGTTCTTAAAGTGTGAGTTTTTGTTACGAGAGGCCCAGTTCTTGGAACACCCGTGAACCAGAACGGGATATTGGTCGAACCGTCCAAGATTGAGTCTATTAAGCAGTGGGTGGTTCTGAAGTCTCCCTAGGAGATCAGGAGTATTATGGGTATGGCAGGGTATTATCAGAGATTCATTCAGGATTTATCTATGGTTTCTGTACCCCTCACTCGTCTGACTTGGAAGGGTGTGGATTTCTGTTGGGTCCCTGGGCAGCAAGCTGATGGGTTTTGAGCATTCTAACACTTCCTAAGTGTACATGCAACCCTAATAACCTTGGATCTATGTTTGTCTAATTATCATGCAAAGTTGAATTCCAAGGTTATATTCCTATCTAGCATACATGGGGAACAAATTTTAACTTGCATGAAAGATAGAATAACTTACCTTGTTGTTGCTTATGATCCTTGAAACCTTGTGAGCCTAGCACCCCAAGTGTGATGCCTCAAATGCTTCACACAACACCAAATGCTTTTGGAATGACTTTAGAGAGAATACAAACTTCTAAAATCGGCCTAGCCCTCTTGTTTCTTATGTGTAGCCGATTTTGGTGGAGAATGGGTTTCTTATATAGTGTTGACACATCTAGGGTTACACCATGTAAACCCTAATGTGTCATGACTCTTCATTTCCATGACCCATGGGTTTGTAACTCCCATGGAGCATCCATGGAGCATCCTATGGGTAGAACCCAACTTGATAATCCATGGAGCCTCTTAGTCCACTATATAAGATATGGAAGATTTACATAATCTACCCATATATTTAATTAGTTATCTTTTGATCACTTAATTAATTCTAAATTAATTCTTGATCAAACTAATTAAATAATATTATTAATATATTAGAACTTATAATATATTAATAAACCATAAGTGTTATTTTTCTCATTTTAGTTTATCCAATTGCATGGTGCCATGCAACCCAAATGGACCATGCCGGGTCGGGTCAAGTACATACCAGCATAGTTATGGACTTAGACACCTTATCCAACAGTCTCCCACTTGGATAAGTCTAATAACTATAACTGCAATACTTCAGGAACCGATCGGCAATCGTAGCTCTTTCAAGGTCTCTCGGAACAGAGAAGATGATGATACGCCATTTAAGATAAGTGATCATATAATCCTCTGTTCTAGATATCAGCCGGACAAATACATGGAACAATGTCTTACTTATTGTCCAGCAGTTTGTTTCCCGATTTCCGATTTGTTTGACAAAGAACTTAATTGAACACATCAACTTAGTTCTGACCGGGCCCGGTACATAGGTCAAAACAAAATCATCGAGGGGCCCAGATATCAGCTTCTAATCCAAGAAGGAACATATAAACTTCGACTCATATGTTTGTTCTACCACTCATTAAATTATACACAAAAGCACGTTTTATAACATTGAGTTACCAATGCGTTAACGTACAATCAATGCATAACCAACTCATAAGTAACAAATCATATCTCTAGGTTTGAAGACTTATATGATATTACCGTCTCACGATCACTCGAGATAAATTCCATGAAGTGATTCCAGTGAGCGTGGGTTGAGTCCAATGCTCAGAACTTATGAGCACTCATGAGTGTTGTAGCCATGTCCAACAACTTAGACCTCTGCAACCAATCATGACAGTCTTGATTCATACCTACTTCCGACATATGACCAACTGTGGAGGTTCGAATAATATGATATACCAAACATAATTATTCTGGAAGTCAAAACTTTTGCAAAAGAAATATAGTAAACGATCGACAAGAGATAGCAACACTTTACTCATAAATAAAACACCTTTTATTCATCATCTAATGTCAATTACACTTTACAAATTTCAAGGTTATCTAACTACTAAATCTAATATCATCCTTCAGCCCTATGCTCCGAGCATGCTGGAGATGCTTAACCCGAGTCAGTCCCTTCGTGAGGGGATCTGCTGGATTCTCATCCGATGATACCCTCTTTGCCACGAGGAGTCCTTCTTCTATTCGAT